ATTTCTTTTATGGTTAAGATGCATAAAACAAATAGTAGATACTAGTTTACAAGAAAAGCCGGGCCGAGTGGTTAGCGCTGCCTGACTTGCGGAGCCGAGAGGCCGCGGGTTCGAATCCTACTCAGGGCATGGATGTTATGTGAATGTGACCCGCCCTATAAACGGGTTGTGTGACGTGGGCGAATCTGCTTCGCCACAGGTGCCCACTGGGTAACGAGAAAAGAGTAGCAGTTCTGGCATTCCTGTGGCCAACGGGACAATCCCCAAACGGCCGCCATTAAAAAAAAAAAGTTTATAAGATAGCGGTGTATCAATTGCTACTTTAATTATGTCTAGGGTTAATGAATTTAAAACCCGTTTTGTGTTTAAGTATTTTAAAAGTTTATTTTCTTTTTAACGAATTTTCCATACAACGAACTTGTTATCGGGATATAGCGACTTCGTTAAATAGAGGTCAGGCAGTGTTTGATCCATTGACGTGTGTAGTCTCATTCAATCCATCATAAGAAATTGTACGCGTCACTTGTTTAGGCGGGGACCGATCAAGGCAGGTCCAGATTTTCTGGGCCCTTTACAGAATGTTTGAAATTAAATTACTGAAGAGTAGTCCTAACAATAAAAAAAAAAATCTATTAAACTGCATGATTCAAGAGAAACGTTCTAAGAAATTTTAAAAGCAGACAATTGAAGATTATCTTCGAAGATAAAGTAACGCATCTATAGATTAACACAAAATATGCTATGCCAAAATAAAAATAGTTTATTGACCACAAACAATTGATGTTAGTAATTTTTTCTAAATGTCACTGATTCGCTGAATTATTTTTATTGTAAGATGTAATTATTTAGCATTTTAAACCAACACAAACCTAACCCACCTTTGATTAGATATAACTACAAGTTCAGCACGTATTCTAAGATATTAAGGTCGTTAATTATAATTTTTATTAAAAAATTTATTTCAAGACATAAAAAATATCCAAAATATAAATAATGCTCATAGATAATTAAAAACTCATTTAAATAATAGTTTATTCAGATATAACACATTTTAAAAAATTAAAATTCATATTTAATGAAAAAGTTTTACTCAAAATATTCATACATTTGAAAGTATTCAATGCAATAGACTTCTTTAAAAAAAAAGTTCGTTTTAAAAAAAAAAAAAAAAAAAAAAAAAAATTTTTTTTCAGCAAGTAATTTTGAGAATTTCAAAATCCTGTTTTATAGTAATACCTGATTCAACTCATAACATAAAGTTTTAAATAAAAATAGTTAAAACGGCTACAGTATGGTGACCACTAACAAGAACTTTTGCTGAAACATTAAGCTGTAATTATTCATTAGTTAAACGAACACAAAGCTAGCCCATCTTACTTTCGAATCTGATTAGTGCTATTTTTACGTGAGTTTCGTCATATCACGATATAAAAAAAAATTTAAAATTAAAAAAAAAAAAAATGAAATTTTTTTTTTTTTAGAAAAAATGTTTCTTATATTTAAAAGAAATAGTAATGTTGAGGACATTTTACTAATTTTCGAGGCCCCATACAGATTTTGGGCCCTAGGACCATGCCTACTGGGCCTAGGCCAGTGGTGGCGAACCTTTCTACACCAACGTGCCATTTTTTTCTAAAAAATTTTTCAATGAGGTCACAGACGTGCCGTCAAATAATTTTGACTTCGTGATTATTGGAAAAATATTAATACTAAATACTATCAAATCAAAACTCTTTATTTACATTGAAAAAAAAAAATACATTTTGCCATGTCTTAAGACAACTTAAAGTAACATCAGTGTGACTTCTGTTGTTGCAGATTAGATAACAAATAACTTATATTATTAGGTTGTAAGATGTTAGTTTAAGCAGGACTGTATTTTTTTGTTTTTTTTGCTAGTTATTTATTGTTGGCTTGTTTTTTATGGTTATTAATTGTTTTTTAGCATTAATTGTTTATTTTGTTCATTTTTGTGAATTTTAATTTAATTGTTTCATATGCTTCATAGCATAATAACATTCGTGTAATAACAATTCATAGTATAATAACAATTGTAATCGGTGGCGTACCCAAAATATTTTGTCTCGTGCCATTGGTTCGCCATCCCTGGTCTAGGCGATAATAAAGCTCTGTGTTCAGGTCAGATTCGTAAATACTTATAGTACAATTTTGTACTTAAAACGCTTATAGCTTCGAAACTATTGGTATGATAATTTCGCCATTGATTTCATTATTTTCAGGGAGAAAAATACGAAGGAAAATGTGTCACTTGCCGTAGTTTTGTATTTCAGGTCTCAGCTATTCACCGACTATATAGGTGGTCCGTTAGAAAAAAATTATTGGTCATTTTGTGATGGGATACTGTTAATACAGAACTTTCTTTTTCGTGACCGCGTGATTGAAATAATTACAATACAATATCAAATTAGTTAAAACTATGTAAGAACTTAAAAATCGAATTAAAATGTGTAAAAAAATATTTCTAGTAGAAAGAGTTTTTTCATTGGTGCCCTACGCACGTGCTTAATACGGCATTGGTCAATATTAGGGGAAAATATAGGCCAATATGAGTAAGACAGCCCGACCAAAAAATCAAGTTCTTAATCCATCAAGATCAGTTTTTCTTGTTTCAAAATTAATCATAACTTTAAAACTCCATATGATGTATAGGAATGTTTTCTTGTATAGGTGATTGATGTATGCTTCACGGACATTTTAGGTTAACCCTTTCTTTACTAGAGCCGTCTTTAGCCACACAAAGTCGAGAAGAAGAGTTACTATGATTTGCAGCGCCTGGGAACGAATTCAATTTTTGTGCATTATGGTGCGAGACTTTAAGAGGACGTTATGTAATACCCACCGCACTTGGTTTATTAAGTTTTTATAGAATAAGATTTTCAACTTTTTTTTAAAGAACATAACTTGATAATTTAATGTTTGATTCAGTTGAAAATAAAGAATGTAAGTTACTAATGAATTTCTATTCCACCTAGATGTTTTTGACCGCGTTTACTGAGTTTTATCGAGTGCTAAGTTTTTATTTAAGGGCATTTTTATTTCAATATATAACCAACTTGTTATAAATAATTAAAATAATAATAATAATAAAAAAAAAATTCGAGTCAAGGCAATAGTAGCAATAGATATTCTGTTCCAATTTATCGGTAAATTTGAAAAACATACGGTGATTTGTAATTTTCAAACGAAACTGGTGAAATTTAAAACGAAGAAGTTTACTGTGGAATTTATGAACAATTATGTCTCACAAATTTTGCACACAGTACAGGTGCAAAATTTATGAGAAATAACTTATAATTTTGAAAGTAAGACACATATTAAAATCATAAGTTTATGCCTGAGGGTAATACCGCCTAAAACAAAAATAAATAAGTTTTAGAATATTTTATCAAAATTGTTTTTACAGTTATAATTACTATATTACAGAATTTTGCTAAAAAAAAAAATTGCTGCCTGTTTTAGGCTCTTTTTTGCCTTTAAATATAATAATTTATTATTTCTTTACGTAAAACATCCATTTTCAATCAATTCAAACTTTTCATGCCAGTGATTTCAAATGTTTTTTTTTTTCTAAATTATTATTGTGCACCAGAGTTAAAACCTTTTTTTCTTGACAAAGAAAAAAAAAGTAGTCCCCATTTATTTGTGTATTGGATACTCGAACAACTGGCTTATACGAATAAAATTTAATAGAACCAAATCATTTTATATGAAACAAATGTTAAATTTCTTCCTTTAAACCAGGGGTCCCCAACCCTAGGCCCGCGGTTAACTAAGGCAGTTTTACCCCTCTTCAATTTACTCAACATTTGGAATATAAAAAAGTACTAAGTTATTCGTTTCGCAGTCAAGACTTTTGGTCTCATCCTGGTGCACTGTTAGATTTGATAAGTTTCAAAAACCTGTTGACAGTGTTTCTTTTTCGAAAGTAAAATAATTATTGTTTATTTCTGTGCATAACTCTTGAGTTCGTCGCACGAAGAGCGCGAAAAGGAATAATTTAAGTTAAATGAAAAGATAGAAGTCTTGGAAGCAAATAAATTTCATAAAATCCCAAACTGAAATAACAAATCAATTATCAAGAGTTTAAAAAAAAAAAAAATCAGAAAGCATTCGAAAGGAATACGCTAGTCATGGAAGCCTTAGTAAAAAAAGAGAATCGAATTTTGATGAATTGACGAATTAAATAAATCGAAACAATCTTCAATTACTGATTTTTTCAAAGGGAATAAAGTGATATTACCTATATCATACTTTTCATTGGCATTGATTCATTTTTATATAACTTAAAATAACATTTATATTTTCGATAATAACACTGACAGCTTTAATTTTAATTGTTTATTGATCATAAAATTGAGTTTATTTAACCAAAATATTAAACTCTGCATTAGATACCATCAGAAAAAGAAAAATTTTGTAAAAAATTTAGCATTTAAAATAGAATAATGCACTATACTTTTAATCGAATAACACGTTTAATTGGATAGAATTAGCTGAAACCAATGGTATTCCTTTAAGCAGTGTTGACTGAGGCTTTAAAAATGCTTTAAGAAAATATCCATTTGTCAGAAATGTAAACATTTTTGAATTTTTCTGATTTTTCAGGTGTTCCAGAAAGAAAACTTTTCCTTGCAATACACCTCCTGCGCAATACAAAAATCAATGTAAACGACAAAATTGGAATTTTTGTATGATAAGTTACTTATTGGAGAAAAAAATTAGTTCAAAAATTAATTTTGCATTATCAGGTTTGCTACACTTCCATTTTAGCATTCATAGCATTAGCAATAGAAATAACATTGTTGTCAAGCTGCTTTTTTGAAATCTATCATAAAGCACTTACCGTTGTTTTTACAATCGTCAACAGCCTTTTCCTTCGAACAAATTGCTGAAAATGAATGTTTTGTGAAAATTGTGCTCAAAAAAGTTTGTGGTGCTTATTTGTTAGTCTCTAAAACAAATAATGAAATACACATAAAAAATAATTAAATACTTTTTAATACAAATTGTTAACAAAGAATAAATCAAAGAAATGCCATTTATTTTCACAATATATTTTTAAATGTGACATACAAAATGCTTCTTTTATAAGGTCATGTGTGTTCAAGGGTAAACAATGCGCATGCGTCGTCATTGTATGAGTTGCGATGGCGACCGCTTCTGTTTGATAATTTATGTTCAAGAGTAAATAGTGTGCAGCAGTAGCCATAGCAATGCATACAATGACGACACATGTGCACTGTTTACTCTTAAGCATAGTTCAAATGATGAAATTCTCTTTAATTCAGAACTCGAGAAGTTTTTCATAAATTCTTTCCGGTCCCATATCTCAAAAAAAGAATTCTAAAAAAATATCAAGCAGCAGTGGTTGCCATAACAATGCCTAAAATGAGGACTCTCAAACAATGTGCACTGATGATAGAAGTATGGTTTCAGAATGAAATCAATCACAACGAGCAAACATAGATTATACATAACTTTATAAACAACTCAAAATGCTTCCTTTGGTAAACAAAATAAACAAGCAAGAAACCCTTAATAGTACAAACGTTTCCCCCCCTTTACTTTTACAATGTGAACAAGCATTTCTACAAGTGACAAAAAATGTTTTTTCCCCTGATCATATGCATTTGAGTGGTACTGACCAAATACAAGAAGATTCTTAAACTCACAAGAGGTTTGTTTATTAATCTATTTTCTTGCAACAGTGCACTTCCTGCTTTTTGGGTGTATATAGAAACTACACATACATGTTTTTAGAATTCATATCAAAAATAAAAACGAGAAAAAGTTTACACATTGAAAGTCACAAATTAATATTTCAATCAGAGGAAAAGTGAATCAAAATTAGAAACATCCCTTATGCACGGTTCTGTCTGTTTAACTGCAATCATGTTTCAATTATTCTCTGTTTCATCCAGCAATTAAGCAGGTTTGGTAATTTTAAAGTATATACAGTCTTTTTACAATGAAGTCTTTTTATAATGAATTGCTCTTCATTGGAAAATTAAAACATACAAAATATTCTCTAAGCAATAGAATAGTTGTCTCCTAATAGAGAGTGTTCCAAACTTTTGCAAGTTAAATTCTTGTCATTATTCAGACTTTTCAGAAGTTTTTTTTTATTTATTTTTAAAGTTCACTCGCTTCTGTTTCACTCAGAATCATTTATTCCGAGGTATCGCATAAAAATAGAATTCTGTATGAAGGGAAATACCTCTTTTCAAATTATATATATTTTTTAACTTTTATCGCACAGACTGAAAATTAAGGAACATTCACAGCTGCTAAAATATCAAACTTCTGCCATACGGCAATAGAAATCGAACAGGAACCAACCAACTTCATTAAAGACAGATTAAGGGAAGCGTTTACAGAGCACCCTGGTGATGCATGGTCACTGTCCTTTCAAAGCTTTGAGATTTTGTTTAGCAGCCCGCATTTGTTTCCTCCATTCCAGCCATTTTGTTACATGGGGGAGCCTAGGATCGACCTTCTTCTCCAGTTGAGTATAGTAAGCTTCACGTATGATGCGGAATGCAGTGAGATTTGCAGACGGGTGCTTTGTGAGAGGATCGAAATATCTTGCTGGAAGCCTGGTCACAATGCATGTACTTCTTTCAACTGGCTTGGGCTTTTCAAAATTGAAGTTCCGCTTCATCGTTTGCAGGTCGGGGAAGGTCACAAAGTTCCTTGTGCATTTACCAGTTACTTTGTTCTTTTCAACACTGAAAAACAATTAGAAATATAATGTCTTAAATAATTAAAAACCATGCCATTGTGAGGGTGAGGAAAGCCAGGCATTTTACATAGACCCCAGATTATAAATATAGGGGATAGCCTGGTTGGCAGGGGGCTGGACTCACGTTCGTGAGAACGGGAGTTTGAATTCAGCCTGCCAAAGACTCCCTGTGAAGTAAATGGTGACTGGTGCACGTTAAATTTGTCGGGTCACAAAGTACTCCATGTTCGCATAACATATTATACACCTGCTTATATTATACATACTGAACTGCAGCATATTATACATACTGAATTGGAGATTGATTGTTCTTTAGTTCAGGTAAAAATTACGATTCGTAGATGAATGAATGGGCCTGCCCTATAAACGGTTGTGACATATGAGTGTGGCAGAGGCTTAAATTTTGGTTATAGATGGCGTCACTGGAAAACAAGAACAAGAACAATCGCACCCCTTGTCTTAATGGCTCAAGATAACAGCACTGACAACATTATAAATATACATAGATCCACATTAAGGAAAAATGGTGCCATTGTAAGAGTAAAGAAAGCCAGCCAGGCATTTTACATAGATCCCACATTTTGTAAGATTCTAGAGTCCCAAGAAACAAAATTTCTAATAATTAAATTATAGAAATTTCCATTTTTTTTCCCCTTGAAAAAAATTTGTTTTTAGCATGGAAATTCAAAAACCTTGTTTTCTATTTTACCATACATATGAAATAGAAAAGATGGCAGTTGTTTCTACTTATATAAAAACACTGCCAAAAAAAAAAAAAANCCAAAAAAAAAAAAAAAAAGCTATAGGTTAAAATTAGAACAAAAAAAAAAGAAGTAAAAAAAGATTTGTTACAAAGGCCTTGCATTTGCAGGAATCTAGAAAGCTGTGAAAAATAAATTTCGTATAATTTAAACTTCAATAATTATTAAAATTTGTTTTAAGTATTGAAAACTTGAAAAAAATGTCTTCTATTTCATTATACATGGTACATTTTCACAATTGGGTGCAATTTGAGAAATTGAAGTATAATGAAATAAAATTGTAAATTAAGTATAAATTTTAAAAATAATTAAATGTACATAAATCTTTCATATTATTTTAAATTTTTTCTTACAGTTTATTTTTAAAAAAATTGTTATATTTTTGTCATATTTGTTGAAAATTGCCATGTCTGTTAACAGACATGTTTAATAAAATTAAACCACTTAAATTTCAGCCCACAATAATGTAAATTAGAGTTTATTTTAACTTTCAAGTCCCATCATACATTAAATCAAGATTTTTAAATTTGTTTTTGTCATGTCTGTTACCATTCTAAAATGTTTTTAAGTATCGTTTTATCATAACGTACTGTAAAATATAATTAAAGATTTAGCCTTATTATTTATTTCTGTATTAGATAAAAAAGAAATTATATGAACCTCTTGCAATATTAATAATGTATCAATTTGCATTTTATGAGAAAAATTATCAATGGTAACAGACATGACATTTTTTAAAGTATAATGAAGTTTAATATTTAATTTATCTTTTGAAATAGTGAATAGGGGTCTTTACACCTCAGTCTCAATAAATCACTCATACAATTGTTCTCGGTTATGAGCTAGTTTACAAGGAGAAAAAATTTATGCCAATATTGCTTTGTCAGGGTCCGCAGAAAAATATTTCAACAAAAATAAGCNAAAAAAAAAAAAAAAAAAAAAAAAAAAAAAAAAAAAAAAAAAAAAAAAAAAATTAAGCACTATACACACTAACTAAAGGAAAATTAATTTTCACATATTTTACATGATCATGATAAAATAACTAGTTTTTGACAAAGAATTCTTTTTCTTGATTATATTAGCCATCATAAAAAGAGATTTTTTGGTTCAATTTTAGAGGGAGGAAAATGATGGTTAAAATTGCGAATATCTTGCAAAATGCAGCAGAGTTGCACACTAGTGCTAGAATCTTACTAATTTCTTCTCTGTAAACGGACATGCAGACTTGTAATTATTTCATCAAACATGTAAAATGAGTGGAGCTTTCATACGCTATGGACTGATGATAGGCCAAAATAGATTGTGGTTTTATTAACTGTGAAAATGTTGAATAGAACAATGTGAAAAGCACACTTTTGTATATTGAGCGGCGAAAGTCGACACAGTAAAGAAAAAAAATCTCATTTTCGAAAAGGGAAAATTAAGTACGTTTTAAAAACACCCAATTGAAAAATCACCTTTAAGGGCTTTCAAAATATAGAAATCGAAAATAAGCACTTTTTAAAAACGCTACGATTGAGGGACTATTTAAAAAAAAGTGTCAACTTTTAGTGGAATTTACTTCTCTAACAAGTTTACAAACATAATATTCTGAGAAGGCAATGCAAATCAATGCTTTATTTTCAAGTTTTTTTTTAAAAACAATATTATTATTCATGAAATTATTGTCTAATATTGAAAATGTGTTTTTTGAATCTGCTCATATTGCAGGTTTTCCACTCTTTTATCAAAGCAAAAATTAAGCACTTTTAAGGACTTCCATCAAAAAAATTAAGGACTTTTTTTCTAGAAATTAAGAACCTTAAAAATGGCATAATGATTATTTATCATCAAATAAAACATCACAGATTAATAATAATAGATTAAAAAAATGGAATAGCTTTTCTTCAACTCAGTCATTCTTTAAAAAATGTTTAAAAAAATACTACATAAAGAAATGTTTAATACAAATAATCTGTATTTAATTAAAATTAAATTGCATTTAATCACCTCACATAGCTTTTAAGAATATAAAGAAAAACTCAAAGAATTCAGATTAAACATTAAAATTTTCTATTTTAAAAATAGAAAAAAACTATGTAAACAGATAGAAATATATAAATTAAGATAGTAAATTCAATAAAAATATTATTTTGAATGCTCTAATACTAAACCAAGACGAAAAGAAACTAACAAATATAAGCTTATTGAAGTTAAGACAATTATTTTAAAATAAGTTAAACCTAATTATAATAAGTTAAAGATTTATTAAAACCACAAAATTAATATAAAAAATTTAATAATTAAAATTGGAATATATTTAGTACCTAACAATCAGGGAAAAAGAAATAAATAAACTACAAGGAAAACTTATTAATTAAAATTAAGAACTGAGAAACAGAAATGATAGTTAAAATAAGTGCTAACATAAATATTGAAACACAGGACAAGGCAGGATGCAAATATGGATCAATTGAAATAAAAATGAAAAAATTGCATATCTAGAAATTGAAATGAAATAATTCATTAAGTACAAAATTTATTGTAAATGAAGGGGAAAAAAACGTAGTGGAATCAGAAACATCATTTATAAAAATCTTCATGAAATAGTCTGCTTTTAATTGTAAAAAATGTTATGCTTACACTGTGTGTGATAAGCAATACTGCACCTGAGGAATTAGAATTTTTTTCAATTAAAAAGTATTGTGACTTGTATATATATACAAAAGGAACTAAAATAATAGACGATAAAAGAATTTTGTTCGTAATAATTTAAGTATTGTCTGAAATTATAAAGAATAATTTGTCAAATAAATAAAAGGTAATGAAAATTGGATGCAAAAATGGATTATATATATATAACTTATTATAAAATAG